AAAACCAAATTTTACATTTGCACTTGTATCTTATTAATGCTACAGCTAATTTTAATAAAGGCTCTATAAAGAAATCTATTTAATCTGAATCAAGTTGACCACAGAATGAGGTTTCTATAAACCTTTTATAACCTTTTTAAAATTTTATCATTTTTTCTAACTTTTATGTCTATTTAGTTTTATCATTCATTTTATTTTTTTTAATTTAAAACAATCTCTAAAACCTTTAAATTAGGAAAATTATTTTACTTTTATCAAAAACCACATTTCTATGTCTTCTGAAATCCTTTCTTACCAAAAACATCTATCATTTTCCTTATATATTGTGCATATAGAGTTTTTCCCTTATATCTAGTAGTTTTAATTATGTATGTTAATTACAGTGTTAATTCCTAGTCACCCTAAGTTTTAGTGAAAAACCTAGGAGGTAAGAAATTTTAATTATGTATCAGATATAGAGCTCAGGACAAAAGACAATGTCTGGAGTATCTTATCTTTTTCAGCAAGACCAAGAGGAAAAACTGGCCCATGAAAGTCAGGCCAGTGTTTTTTCCTAGGACACATCATAGTCTAAAGGCTCAAATGTAAAGATATAAGCTTATGGGCAAATTAAACAAGCATTAAAAATATCGTAGAAGCAACAGTTTATAACCTTAAACCATTTATCTGAGATAGCGTAAACCTTCCTGATCAGTATGTTTAGGAAAAAGAATGTCTAAATTAAATTTGAGGATATTTTTATTGTATTTTATCAATAATTTAAAAATGATCTTTATTTATCAAAGATTATTAAAGCCACATATATGTGAAAAGCTTTTGGGCTTATTTACTTAATTTATGATTATTTACCTACTTTTAAGCTAATTTTGTAGCATAAACAATATTTAAAGACATACACACATACGTACATGAAGATACAAACCTGCATAAATGAAGGCTCTATAGTCTTGATTTTAAAACTCTTGTTATAAGACTGGCCAACTCACCAGTTTTTTTTTGTTTTTAACTCACCAGTTTTAAAAGACAGCTGGATTCAAACTGTGCCCTTAAAAATGGAACAACTTAAAGCCTACTTGTTTCACCCAAGGCCTACGCCCTCACTGAGACTCAGGATACAGGGTAGTAATCTGTATCTCAAAGCAGAGGTAGGGGAAGAGAGAGAGAGATGATGGGAGAGAAAATACTGTCTCTTGAGAAGGAGTTTGGGCCATGCTAGAGGAAGACAGAGTTAATTTCTGATATCCTCAAAAGCCAAAAAGATCAGGTAACATAATACAGCAGAGAGCAGAGTTGTATACCTGAGAGGTTCTGTCTGTGACTTTAGACTCCGCAAGGGAAGCAGAAGACACACAAAAAGAAGTGAGTGGTGCCTTTTGTCCAAGTTTATGAAGGGATTTGAGTCATAAGAGGTTTCTTCCAGGCTTTTTTTTTTCATGTGGTACTGAAGATGGCAACAGTGAAGGAGGAATAGAAATATATATACATATACATATTCCTATTCCTCCTTCAACGTTGCCAATATTTTGATTTCTTTTAACCAACAGTGTACTGCAGTTGAAAGGGTGTTAGTTGATTTTAGAGGCCTCATTTCTCGTAATTTAGAGGTTTTGTCAGTATTGACTAAGAGTTGGTCAAATCTAATGTGACATAGACCATAGACCAAAATGAAAAATAGACGATGCAATCACACAGTTAATATGTTATTGAGATCCCTAAGCATAAGGAGAAGTTATAGCTAACTGACAATAAACTTTAAGCACTTAAAACAAAACCCCAGACTAACTCCTTACTTGGAGATGGGCCCAGCTGAGGCTGCTTTCTGTCATCACAAAAGCAGGGAAATTCACCCTCTTAACTGGAAGAATGCAAAACTCCTTAGAGGCGTTTCCTGGCCAAATATACCTTGGATATCAAGTCAAGAATTTTGAGAGATCCAGGAAGCTCAGGACAGGGCCACTATTTGGCCTTGGCGAAATTCCCTGTAGTTCTCAGTAAACATTTAGCCAGTACCCCAGCACCAATAGAATTGCTGCAAGCCAAAAGGGGTATTGCTCTGCTTTGTCAACCCAAAATAAGTGACTAAGGTAAAAATCTCAATTAACAGAGGTTTATGAAGCGAAAGCTGAGGACTCACCAAGGACAAACACAAAAGCACAGACAGATCTGTGGCTATTATTCTGAAGGGGAATTTGGAAGTTTCGGTATTTAAAAAGGAGTACGGAATACAGAAAGAAAAAAAGGTATGGGGTTAGTGAGACAAAAGGGATATATTTTTGTGAGATTCAAGAAAATCTACATTTTATGTAAGATGAGGGGAATGTTAGAAGAGAAAAAAGCAATGAAGGAAGCATGGATTATGTAGGTGTGAGGATGAGGTATGTATTCCACAGGATGGGTGGAAGAATGTCTGATCGTGCTTTGTCTCTGTTCTGTACCTGTGGAGATAAACTTATAATTCATTATTATTGTGAGAAAAAACAGACTTTAGTTTTAGGAGCTAGACTTAGCCTGCAGACATAAAGTTACAATTTGCATGTCCTTGCTTATGGGAGGCCAGTAAGGAATCTCTCTAATGAATGATGTGTGAGGCCAGTCTCCACAGGCAGCTGAGGCCTTTACCTTTCCTTTTGTATAGGGAGTTGGGAGGGTACTCTTTGTGGTGAGCTGAGAGCTTTACAATAAGGGGTTAATAAATGAAATAAGCGGTACGCCAGGGGCTGGCTAAATTATAGCTACATAGTTGAAGTGTTACACTGAAAGAATAGTCTTTTGTCTAATAACTGCCATCTGCTTCTGTAACCCTGCTTGCAGCTTGCTTTGAGGATTGTAATCTGCCTTCGGGCGCCAGAGATCTGTGAGGGCAACTATGCCCTGTGACCTTGTATTTTGCAACCCAGACTTCACTCCCCGCTTTTGTTCCCTGAACACCTGCCCTATGTCACGTAGCCTCCCTCAAAAATAGTATAAAACCCTCATAAAAACTTGAGATGATGCCATCCTCTCGTACTGCTTTTATGTGGGCGGAGGTGGTCGCTGGCCAGCTATAAAGACTCTCAATTTGGCTTCATTGAATTCTCCTGTGGTCTGTTCGCACCCTCCACACTACAACACTCTTGAGATTTTCACTTTCTTTTACAGAAAAAGGGAATATTGTAGAGAAAATCTATATTGCTCTGGAGGCTATGTAAATCATCATAAGTAGACTATTTGTGAAAATATAGATGTTAATGTCTTCCTTTTGTGAATAGCAAAATTTGAGAAGAAAGAGAGAAATTGAGGAAAGAACTATTAGGCAAAACGGAGCCAGGACTTCATGTTTTGGGAAATTCTCAGCCTATTAGGATTATGAAAGATTCTAAAATTAGGGGCCTCAATGTCAGGAAACTTGTGAATTCTTTTCTCTTGTAGAGAAAGCCAATTGTGTGGCTGGACAAGCTTTCGCTAATGTCTCTGAAGGATTAAAGGGTCAGAGTATTGAGTCACACAGAGGCTCATTGAAGAGATTAGTGTGAGGTAGGTTCACTGAGCACTGGTTACAAACTTGTTTGAGTTTGGGAAGATGGAACACACTCTATACAATTTATGTGAGGTGGATTTTTTACATACAAATAGGCAGCGAGGGACAATGGAAGGCAACGATCCATTGCCAGCTGGTCCCTCAAGGCTCAGAAAGCTGCCGGGTCAAATGGAGTCTCAAGTGTGCATGCCCCACGTGCAATGCAGATGAAGGCCTGTGAAAAGCAGCCCACACTGGGATTTATAGTCTGGGGAAACCTGACACATTGGGCTAAAGATGGAAAAACAATCTGTTTGTAGTGGGGACTAGAACAAAGCATGGGCTATTCAAGCCAGTGCCTTCCTATCTCAAGACGTTGCGTTCCCAATGCATTGTACAGTTATTCTTGAGAACTTTAGGTGAGAAAGGGGAGGGAGGAACAGGGTCAGTCCAAGGCCACCCAGTGACTTATCCTGCAATTAGCTGTATGACTTGTGGATCCCTTCACCCATAGTGGAAGAAGGCAAAAATAGAGATGAAATTATCTACAAAGGATCTGTGTAGCAACCTCTTATCTAGTGAAGTTTAGTCCCATGACATACACAGGAGAGCCACAATGTACCTGAGAATTCTATGCCAGCAAAACCACTGCCAATTTGGACTGGAAGGATCAGAGAGAGAAGATGACAGGAAAGAAGCCTGTTGGACTTCCAAAATTCCACAAGTAGGAAATAGATGATAAACTACTCAGCTGCAAACACATGCTAGCTTTCATGGAAAAGGAAGGATAACTCTTAGGGTGACGCCGTGAGCCCAAAGGGCAGAGCTTCAAGCCGAGAGGCCTGAACTGTAGACCAGAGAATTACTCCTAGTCCTTAAAACCTAATTTTCTTTGCCCAGTTGGCATCAAAATATCTTGGGACTGATGATTCATTTTTTTCCTTCTATTTTATCCCTATTTAAATGATAATGTCTATCACCGGTATCCAGTGCTTGTTGCACTATTGGTGTTGTGGAGCAGATAAATTTATGACTTTTTGACTGAATAAAAAATTATTTGCATGTATCACTTTAATGAAAATGAATTTTTCTCAAACAGAAATAGAGGCTCTGAAATCAAACAGACTCATATTGTATTTAAATACAAACTCTGCCACTTTCTATGTGTGCAGTTTTGACAGGTTGTCTTAAACTAAATTTGCCTTTGTTTTCATACTTGTAAAATGAGAAAAATAGCTATTCCTTTAAATGAAAGCTTTAAATGGAGCTTCCATATCTTCAAATTGAAAAATAAATCCAGAATCTTTGTACGGTCTCAGTAAATGTTATCAGTGTATAAGACTGAATGAATGAGAGAGGAGCAAAATGAGGTAAAACTACTTAAAAAATCAAACATTCAAATACATATAAAATCATTAGAATAAGCAAATTTTGTCATTTTTATGCTAGTGTTACCACATTGTGTGACATATTTACCTTTTTTAACCCATTTCTAATTTCTTAGATTTTAAAGAGGAAGAAAAATCATACCAAGTTATCAGTTGGCTTCTGCCTGAAGACTATCAAGAGGAATTTAATAAGATTATAAGTTTGTTTGTGAAAGAAGTTTACAATGAGAGGTAGTTTTTTTTTATTCTCTGAATGAAAGAGTTACTATTTTAATCATGTAAATAAATGGGTGGATGCCTGCATAATTGAAATGAGGGTAAGGGAAAGGGATGGAGGGATGGATGGATGGATGGATATATGGAATGATACATAGATGATAGGTGGATGTATATAACAGGTGGGTGGATTTGGTACAGTCACTGGAAAACCTTTCTTGCTCTATATTGTCCTTCCTACACTATCAGCATGAATGTATGTCTACACAAATTGAAAGATTGTTCCTTTTGGGACTTCCTTCCAACATTTCATCCACAAACATTGTCTAGAATTTCCCCAACACAGAAACAGGGACATTCCTCTCAAATTCTCATTATTGATAGTATTCAAACTTAGTTTTGTTCCTTCTCCTCTCACATGCTTATAAATAAAGGAAAGATTTATTAATGTTCCTTTTATAGAAGTTGAACGTCTGGCCATGTAAAGTTCTGTTATAAATCAATCACCCTGATACAAAATGAGACATGATACTGACTCTTTTTGCTTCTCTGCAATGCAAAGGAACATATAACTTTTTAATCTAAGACAAAAAACAGGAATAAAGAAATCCATGCCTATCTTGTTTAATTACAGTGGCCTTACCCTATATCTTTCCTTGGGGTCTGCTCTAACCCACCCGTTTGACACTTAGTCTCTATCATCTTCAGAGTTAGTTATAATTGTAAGTGTATACTTTGCTTCTTCTTCCCCAGTTTAATATTTTTAAGGACAGGTTTAGGTAATAGTACATTCTTAAAGATATTTTTAATTTATTAGCTTAATTTTAAATATGATTAATGAACTATACACTAAAGACTTTTACTGCACTACTGAAATTTTCCAAAATAGCTGGAAAACATTTATATTCCTTTGCTATGTGAATTTTTAAAAATAAACAACAGTGGATGATTTCAGCCAATAATTTTCTTTGTTTGACTCGAAGCTGGTCCTAATGGTTAGGCAGGGATCTCAATATGCCTAATAAGTTCTCAGCCTCAGAGCAATCCCTAACTGAAGGGCAATGGTGCAGTGATGTACAGGTTACAGGTGTGCAGAGGTATTGCTTCCCTCAGTCCTCGAAGCTGCCAACAGGCCCCTGATATCTAGAGGCCTGGCACCTGTGGGCTCTGGCCTGGGCATCCTCATTGATTTCCTTAGCATGCTGGAAGATAGGATCATATCCTTTGCAGCCAATGAGGGGAAAGCATTGCAAGAAGAAAGGTCCCTGGAATAGCATAGGCAAAGTCTTAATTAAATGTCAGTAAAGCTTTGGCATTTTATTCTGTGACTACTCCAGCCTACATTGAAGTGGAAACGCTAATAATGTGTTTCAAAACCAGGTTATCTTTCTTTTTTGTCTTTTTCCATTGCTTAACTCCTAGACATAGAAAGGTAAAATTTTCATTTTTGGCTAAGATTTTTGGTTCTAATATGATCGGTGTTTCTTGGGTGAGGCAATGTCTCATACGCAAACACACAATGATAAAAAGATTAGTATAATCATCAATACTGATAAAGTCTATCATCAAATTACCTACAAGTCTAGGTGGGCAAAGAAGAAAATCACTCATAAAAAGTCAGTATGTAAAGGAGGGTTAAACAGAGCATGACAGAAGTTATCAAGGAGACACAGAACTGTGAGATCTGCTATAGTCAGAGACAACTCCCAGAACAGGAGGACCTTGAATTGGCAATGATGGTGGGTGGGATTTGGATCTGGGTGGGAGGCTGAGGGGAGAAGGATACACTCTAGGGAGCAGAAACATTGGAATAACAATGACCATGGCAGAGCGTGTTTGTGGGAAACTGGTTGAATGTGTGGGCTACTGCTAGATATGCTCTTGGTTCTCCAAGATATTGTCTTTGTATCTCATGATTCTTTTATGTATTGTAAATTTAACACCTCCCATGAATATTTATCATTTATTTTCTTTCTTACAGGGATTCGTTTGAAAACTTTTTAAAGTTTGTGGAACAACTGGGATTTCAGTGCAGTCATTTGCTAAGCAGAAGCGATATCATGGATTCCTTAAAGAATGAGAACTTCGACCTGGTGATAGTTGACAGTTTTGACTACTGCCACTTCCTGATTGCTGAGAAGCTTGGCAAGCCATTTGTGTCCATTCTTCCTGCTACATTTGGCACTTTGGACTTTGGGCTTCCAAGCCCCTCGTCTTATGTTCCAGTATACAATTCCTTGTTAACTGACCACATGGACTTCTGGGGCCGTGTGAAAAACTTTTTGACTTTCTTTACTTTCTCCAGGAAGCAATGGCAATTTCAGTCTATATATGACAATATCATCAAGGAGCATTTCCCAGAAGGCTCGAGGCCAGTTTTATCTCGTCTCCTACTGAAAGCAGAGCTGTGGTTTGTTAACTCTGACTTTGCGTTTGATTTTGCCCGGCCCCTGCTTCCCAACACTGTTTATGTTGGAGGCTTGATGGCCAAACCCACTAAACCAGTACCACAAGTAAGTAAACCCTTAGCACTAATTTGGATTTCATGCCAAGGCCTTCAGTACATGGTTGGTGAGACTGAAGTAGAGCCAGGGAGGGAGGGCCTGCTGTGAGAGGAGTTCTCACCTTTAGGGCTATGCTAGTACAGTGCTGGGCCCTGCATGATCCTGAGATTGAGGCCTCCTCCTGTGGGCTCCTCTGGCTGCTCTCTTGCCTCGCGCTAGTTCTGGGCTTGGTGTGATAAGCATTTTATGACAGTTACTGTTTTCATTTGCATTTTACATGAGCATGTGTACAATAAATATGTAGTTAGTGCCCATTGCATGCAATAATATGCAGGGAAATGAGTTATTTACTGACAATGCTGTGATACAGGGAGTAAGTGGGGTGGGACTGTGTGGGACTGACTGACAGCCAGAATGGCAGGTGTCATACCCAGCATCCCCTGCAACTGCTGGTGTCATCCCAGTGTCCCCTGCCTGTAGAGCCCTGTCTCTAGACTCCAACTAGACCTTGTGATCTGATTTGTCAGGGGTGGGCCCAGGCCACTATAATTTGTGAACTTTGTCTTGGTGATTTGAATAAGCAGCTTGGACTCAGAACCACGGCTGTAGAAGGTTGTAGAAGGGAGGACAGCTGGGATTAGTTGGCTGCCTGTTGCCTGTCAGCCCTCGATTGCCATGTTGTAGCAGTTATCATGTACAACATCCTGGCCCTGTAGGTGTGATACTCTCTAATTTTATAAATGAAGAACATTGGAGGCCCAGGTGATGTAGGTGACCTTCCCAGCACCATGCATTTGAGAGGCCCTGAGGGCTTGAACTTGGCCTGGGCCTTGAGGTCACCAAAGTGTCCACCCCTCCTCCCCTGACCTCTCATTGAGTGAGCAGGAGAAGCTGGGGGTGATTCACTGGAGAGATGGGCTTCACATTGGTGTCAGGAGCTTAAAGGAATGAAGCTGGGAGGGAGGTCCCCAGGTACGGAGAGCAGGGCCCATGTGAGGAGGTGGAAGTGCGATGGCCATGAGTTTGTGTCCCCTGGGCAGTCTGGCTGGATGGACTATTGCACGAATAAAGCCAAGGGGGACTGAGTGGAGCTTTATCTGTCAGGAGGGTGAGGCAGGCCTTGGCCATAGAGGAAAGGGAGAGAATTGTTGTGAGGATAATAATGGCAGTGAGGGTTGGAATATCTGTGAGACACACACACTGTTTTAAGAAAATTTTCTTCTCTTCATTTTCCAATTTTTATACAATGGTATTTGATTGCTTTAGTAGTTATAGAAAGGGTGACAAAGTTGTTTTAAAGCAGTCCTTTAGGATGATAAATCAGATAGTGGTGGGCTGTGTAGAATCCATAGGGACCTCACCACCTAATAGGGTGAGGAGTTGGGAGCTTAGGGGAGCCACAGAAGTGCAGAGAGAATCAGGGTCAAAGACATATTTGGCATTAAGAACTGACAAAACTGTGTTAAAGTCACGGTGAAGACACTAGACACCAACCTTCCTTAAGAATTGCCTGGGGGACTTTAAGACATAAGCTGATCAGGTGTACCATTGGGGCTGGGCATGGCTGCTTTGTACAAATTTTCCAATGAGGTTATCATTTATAGTCCTGTGGGTGAGGCATTGTGGTACCAGATGAAGTATGTACGAAGATTAGTGGCCAAGAATATTGTGGAACGTAGGATCCACACTGTGTGTAGGGGGAGGGAGCCTTACCCCATTCTGCGTCCATTTCTGCTGATGACAGCAATGTTCTCCCAGTTTCTGCATTCTGGCCTCCAGAAGTCCATAACCCATGCTGGGTGCTGACCTCCAACTGGTGCTCTCCCAGACCACCACCCCTGGTCCAGCCCTGGACGTCTCTCAGATACCGTGACTCCCTGAACATACAATGGGTGGAGGGAGAAGAACAGCCCAGAAGCTGGGGTCAGGGTTTGAAAGAAGAGAGCTGTTCTCACTCACACAGTGGAAAGGGGTGGACAGTGCAGGGGTGCTGAGCTGTCCCAGGGGCCATGATAACTGTTTCAGGATGGTGATGTCGAGGCACTGATGAGAGGCACTGATGAGAGGGTGTGCCAGTGAATAGTGTGATTTGTATTCTGCTGCCGCTGAGGCTCTCACAGGCAATTGTGTTGTGTCCTTTGCTTGGTTATCTCTCTGCAGGACTTGGAGAACTTCATTGCCAGGTTTGGGGACTCTGGTTTTGTCCTTGTGACTATGGGCTCCTGGGTGAACATCACTAGCCTCCAGGAAGTCCTTAAGGAGATGAACAGTGCCTTTGCCCACCTTCGCCAAGGGGTGATATGGAAGTGTAAGCATTCCGACTTACCCAAAGATGTCAACGTGGCCCCAAATGTGAAACTCGTGGACTGGCTTCCTCAGAGTGACCTCCTGGGTAAGGGCTGCCCAGGCCTGCTCCTCTCATTCCATTGTCCTGTCTTTGGGGCTCTTCAGGGCTCTGACCTCTAGCTGGGCATTTGTCCAGCTAGAGAAAGAGCTGCCCATGGGTAAAGGTAAGGCTCCAGAGTGCAGGAAGGAGCCGCCAGCTGGAGGTCTTGAGGCATCAGGCTATTTTTCCTATGGAATCAGATGCCAAAATGGCCAACATTCCTCCTTCTTTTCTATCCCAGACCTGATGTGTGTAGCCAGTAGTGATATTTCTGTCAAGTCCCCTCCACCTACTGCATTTGGTCTTGGAACAGGTCACCCAAAATCCATCACAACCTGTGGATTCTGAGAATATAAACGAGGGGGGATGCTGCCACTCTCTTTAGTGGCTTTGTGAGCAGCAGTTCAGCCACAAGTCTTTTTTTTTTTTATTTCAGCATGTTATGGGGGTACAGATGATTAGGTTACGTATGATGCCCTTACCCTACCTCCCCCGCAAGTCCGAGCCTCAAGTATGTCCATTCCCCCGGAGGTGCGCATCGCACTCATTGTTTGTGCATATGCCCGTCCCCTCAGCCACAAGTCTTTACACAAAAACACACCCACAGAGAGACACATCCTCTCAATCTAAACAGCAATTCAACCTTCACAACACTGATGCCAGCCATGACTTTAGGATGTGCCAACACACCTTTATGCCAGGCTTAGCAACCTCACAGCTTGTGATTTGGCCCACCAAGTTGTCTGGTCCAGAGAGTTCCTTCATCCCAGCAAGTTTTCTGTGCTCCCGGCACTGCTTGTTACAGACACCCCCATATACAGTACTCAGTAGAGTAAATACTCATAACCAAGGTATGGCTCCAACTACCTGAAACATTTAAGAAACATATTCCTGGCACCATTTCTGCAAATTTATTTCTTTAATTCTGAAGTGGAGCCCAGGATTCTCATTTCCAAGAGGAGGCAAGGAGATTCTGATACATTTTGCAGTTGAGTGACACAGGGTCAGAAGGACTCTTCATGATAACAATCATTTTCATTAGCTCTAAGCATTGTTGGGAGGGAGAGACAGGAACTGGAAATAGCTAGGTGTAGGGTCTGGTCTCAGCTTTGAAGGGACTTGTCACATAATGGAGTCTACCATAACAGTCCAGAGACCCATCAATTATGATGGCAAAGAATGAATTAAGAGTTAAAGAAAAGGAAATTATTTGTAAGTGGAGAGCTCAGGATGCACAGACTGAGGAAGTAGAGACAGAGGGAGAAACACATGAGAGAGAATAGAGATGAGAGAAGCAAATGGATGCACAGGGAGGACAGGGAGAAGGAAGGATGGATGGATGGACAGGGGATGTGTCTTGCATAGCCCTCTTCTCTGTAAAACTCCCAGGGTTCTCAGTCTTACCTGGACTTGGAGAAGGCTCTATACACAGCATGGCTTGGAATCCAGCACCTGGGCACTGCCTCCTTGGATGTGTCCAAAGCTACGTCATTCTAAATAATGGTTCCAACACACCTCTAGGTCCCCTTGGCTTTTTCTCATGCCCTCCCTGCTCGACTTGCTGTTCTGAAACTTTTCATCCTGAATAATGCACGCTTTTATTCTTTGCAACAGCTCACCCCAGCATCCGTCTGTTTGTCACCCATGGCGGGCAGAACAGTATCATGGAGGCCATCCAACATGGGGTGCCCATGGTGGGCATCCCTGTTTTTGGAGACCAGCCAGAAAACATGATCCGAGTAGAAGCCAAAAAGTTTGGTGTCTCTATTAAGTTAAAGGAGCTCAAGGCGGAGACGTTGGCTCTTAAGATGGAACAAGTCATAGAAGACAAGAGGTATGCTGCTTTCAGGGGTGCACTCCCTTTGGGTAAGTGAAGGCATAAACACTAATGGCATTGTGTGGGCCTGTTTTTCAATGCAAATTGTATTTTCCAGGACATGGGATAATATGTGTGTGATGCTAAGAGCTGACTTGTGTCCTCCAGAGCAAGACTAGAACAGTTTAAGTTGGATGCCAAGAATAATTGTCTACCTTTTGCATTTGTGGGACCCAAACTACATACACAGGGGCTCTATGAGAGCTCTTATATTTGCAGTTCTTCTAGTGGAATTTCAGCTGAGGCAGGATGTTGCCTTTCTGTTCTTCAAATGCTCCATGGTCTTCCTCCTCTTGGGTTTCTGTTCATGCTGCTCTCTAACACTTCATCTCTGCTCTTCTCAGAGAGGCTCCTTCATGACATTAGGTCTCATCTCCAACTCATTTGTTCACATATTTCATCCCAGACTGTCCTGGGTGGCCTCTTCTCCCTCCCACCCAACGATATCATTTCCTCCTAAGACTTCCTTGGGGCTGTAGTTACCTCATTTGTTTATGTTTTATTTATTATCTGTCCCCTGACACTACAGAGAAGAGAATATAGATCTTCATGAATATAGCAGTGTGTTCTCTTGTTTTCCACTATGCTCCCAGTGCCTGGCACAGGGTCTGCCACAAAGTAAGTGGTTAATGAGTTTTAGTCAAGTGAGCTATAGAATGGTCCCAGTGACCTCCAGGTAACTAACTGCTCATCCAGCACAATGGCATCGCTAGAAGATGGAAATGCACATTTTCTTTTTATATCTCAGAAGGAGTAAATAATTAGTTAAAGTTTCAAGGTCATGATCCTCTAGGCTTAACTTACTGCCTTGAACATAGGAGACACTCAAGTGCTTCCAGTTGAATGACTGCTGAGCAACCACATAGCTCATGGTTCTTAGCCCTAGAATAGTTAAGTTCCAGGTGTCAGATAACTGCACAAGAATTGTATATATTTTGCAATGTCATGTGTTGTGGATGCTCATTTCCTGAAGAACAGGTTTGTAGCTTTTGTTTGATGCATTTTTAAAGACCTAGACTCCAAATGGCCATGATTTACTGTCCTCTGGGAAGGAGTCATTCTGGGCTGGGATTTCCCCTCAGACATTGTGCATCCCCAGGGCCAGATGCACCATTTGTGGGGCCTGGTGTAAAATGGAAATGTGGGGTTTCTTGTTGTAAAGTTTAAGAATTTCGAGAGGTGACAGCAAAGAATTCAATCAAACACTGGATAGTATTAAGCTTGTTGTGCAAGTATGCAGACAGCAGTCCAGGAATCGAGCCCTGGCCAACATGACTCTTTCCTGGTGCAGGAACATGAAGTCATTGTCCTGGGCCCGGCTGTCCACAGAGTGACATTTTTCATGCAGTGTGGGCACACAGTAGGTGCTCCCTGAATACAAATAATAATAATTACATCATATAATTTTCCTGTGGTCTATCGTAAGCCTCCTGGTAGTAGAGACTATTCCTTACAGATTGAGTCACTATAGTTTGGCACTTTCAGAACTAAGCATGGATTTTTTGCGTGTAGGTATCATTATTGAACTTTTCAAAGAGACCCAGCTAGATTATTGCAGAGTCAGGCCAACAAATTTTCCTTAATCATAGTCTTTAGTGCATCAAATAGAAAAGGATCACACTTTTAAATCCTGTGAGGTAACATCAGTAACGGCCCCACCCCATCTCTGCCAACAGGTACAAGTCTGCAGCAGTGGCCGCCAGTGTCATCAGACGCTCCCACCCCCTGACCCCTGCCCAGCGGCTGGTGGGCTGGATCGACCACATCTTGCAGACAGGGGGCGCGGCACACCTCAAGCCCTATGCCTTCCAGCAACCCTGGCATGAGCGGTACCTGCTGGATGTCTTCATGTTCCTGCTGGGGCTCACTCTGGGCTCCGTGTGGCTTTGTGGGAAGCTGCTGCATGTGGTGTCCAGGTGGCTGTGTGGGGCCAGGAAGCTGAAGGAGACATGAGGCCGAGTACAGTCCTGGAAGACAGATGTGTTTGGTGCTCAGTATCCCCATTTCTTGGAGGCTTCCCACTAGTTCAGGCAACCCTGTTCCCCACATCACATCCACTTGCTAATTTGCTACAAATTCCTCCTCGTGGGCTTTGTCCTGTTAGCAGAATCTTTACCAAGTACTTATGTCCTTTCTTCACCAGTCAGCAAGGGCTGTGCTGTGATTCTGTCTCTGAGTGACTTGGACCATCGACCCTCAGATTTCCAGCTTTCAGACCCACTCGCCTTCTCTGGCCCCTCTGGGCATCACTAAGCCTAACCATCCCAGCCTCCCTGTCCAGATCTCAGCCTCTTGCTCTCACTCCTGCCCCCAGCACTTGTCAGGGAATATTTTTCCAAATTTTCCCTGGTCTTTGCTGCTCCTGTACACTCAGTGCTCAGGAAGCCTGTGTCATGCATATGCATTCAGGGTCGGGCCCACCCTTGGAGAGCTTCATATGTGGAACCTTCCTCTGGTGCTCACAGATAGCTCCTTGTTGGCTGATCAGACAGGGAGACTTGGGGTTTCCAGATTTCCGGGAAATTAAAAGTTTTTAAAGAATATTTCCCCTGCAACCCACACTGCCCCACTGGCGAATGGATATCTGTCCTAATTGCCCATATTTCTGTCATCTGGCTCTCAAGCCTACAAGGAAGCTGGAAAGTGTCTGCATTGGCAGGTGACAAGGACAAAGGGATCTGGGACTGGCTGTGGGGTAATCCAACCTGTAGTGTCTGAAGAACATGGAAAATAGCCAAACAATACTCCAGAATGGACAATTTTCTGATGTTTTTGTCTTGGCCTATGTTTATACATTAAATCAGCAAGGAATCTTGGACATAAGGGGAATACAATCTTTTGTTTCTTGGTTATAGTCTCTGGCTGGGCCTGAGGAAGCACATGACACTGAGCTGGGCTCAATGACTTTCTGAGTCTGATGGGGACCCCTAGATAGGCAGAAGGAGCAGGTGATTTCAGTGCTGGAGCCCCAGCCCTTGATCCCTGTATAGATGAGAAGAGGGAAGGAATCATGGAACCGAGGCTGTGAAACCAAAGAGAGCACAGAGAGGGCTACATGTTGTTACCCACCAGTGGACACTAAGCCTTAAGTGTTATAAGAAGGGTATAAGCCACCCTATTTATGGTTGTGTAGAAATATGATTTCCAAATGGATTCTCTTTTCAGTCAGTTGGCTCTGTCCTCTGTACAGAAGATTTTGTACTAATGAGTGGGAGATATGTGTCCACGTGAAGATGTCCCCACAAGTACAGAAGAATGGGGACTTGAAACTTGCTCATAGGCACTAGAATTCACCTTAGCATTCATGCATGGTGTTTTTAATTAAGCCTACCCCACTGTTTGCTAGCTCTCACCACTTTTGTTGGTATGAAGGTTTAGAAAATGCTGAGGTAGGTGTCAGGATGGAGGATATGGAACATTCAGAGGGACTTTTCCCATACGGGGTCTCCACAATCTCTTGTAATTAGATAACAGATTCAGTAAAAAGATCAACCAGAAGAGAAAACAAGCCATGTAACTGAGCTTTTCATTAATAAAAATATAAATACCAGATGTGGGCCGAGCTATTTACTGAACTCCTCTTACAATCCTTTGTTTTTATGTTTTATGAAGCTGATGTCACCCTGATACCAAAACCAGGAAAGGACAGAACAAAAAAATAAAAGTACAGATCAATATCCATTATGAATATAGATGCAAAAATTCTCACCAAAATCCTAGCAAACTGAATTCAGGTGCTTTATAAAAAAATAATCTATCACAACCAAGTGGGCTTCATCCCAGTGATACAGGGATGTTTCAACATATGTAAATTTATAAATGTAATTCTCCACATAAATAGAAGCAAAAACAAAGACCATATGATCCTCTCAATAGATGCAGAAAAAGCTTTCAACAAAATTCAACTCCCTTTTGTGACAAGAATGCTTAACAAAATAGGCATAGACAGGACTTACCTCGAAATGATAAAAGCTGCATATGACGAACCCACAGGCAACGTCATACTGAATGGGGAAAAACTGAAAGCATTTCCACTTAGACTGAAACCAGAAAGGTTGCCCTCTATCACCGCTTCTATTCAACATAGTGCTAGAAGTCCTAGCCAGAGCAATCAGAAAAGAGAAGGAAATCAAGGGCATCCAAATGGAGGAAGAAGAGGTCAAACTGTCGCTTTTTGCTGACAATATGATCTTATATCTAGAAAACCCCAAAGATTCTTCCATAAGACTACTGAAATTGATAAACAAATTCAGCAAAATCTCAGGTTACAAAATCAATGTACGGAAATCAGTAGCATTCTTATAAGCCAACAACGGTCAAATTGAAAACCCAATCGAAGACTCAATGTCCTTCACAATAGCAACAAAGAAAATAAAATACTTAGGAATATGTTTAACTAAGGAGGTAACAGACCTCTACAGGGAGAACTGCGAAACACTGATGAAAGAAACAGCAGAGAATGTAAACAGGTGGAAAACCATACCATACTCATGGGGCGGCAGAATCAACATTGTTAAAATGTCTGTACTACCCAAAGTGATCTACAGATTCAATACAATCCCTATTAAAATACCAAAATCATTTTTCACAGATCTAGAAAAAATAATTCTATGCTTCATATGGAACCAGAGAAGATCCCGTATAGCAAAAGTAATCTTAAGCAAAATAAACAAACAAATAAAAAAAACCCAACAACAAAATTGGGAGGCATCAATTTACCACACTTCAAGCTATACTACAAGACTATAATAACTAAAACAGCATGGTACTGGCACAAGAACAGAGACATAGTCCAGTGGAACAGAACTGAGAATCCAGATATAAAACCATCCTCATATAGCCATCTAATTTTTGACAAAGCAGACAAAAACATACACTGGGTAAAAGAATCCTCATTCAATAAATAGTGCTGGGAAAACTGGATAGCCACATGAGGAAGACTGAAACAGGATCGGCACCTTTCACCTCTCACAAAAATCAACTCACAGTGGGTAACAGACTTGAACCTAGGGCATGAAACTATAAGAATTCTAGAAGAAAATGTTGGAAAAACTCTTATAGGCATTGGCCTAGGCAAAGAATTTATGAAGAAGACCTCAAAGGCAATCACAGCAACAAAAAAAAAATAAATAAATGGGACCTGATCAAATTAAAACGTTTCTGCATAGCGAAGGAAAGTATCATGAGAGCAAACAGACAACCTACAGAATGGGAGAAAATATTCACGTTACACATCTGATAAAAGGCTGATAACTAGAATCTATATAGAACTCAGGAAAATCAGCAAGAAAAAGTAAAACAACCCTATCAAAAAGTGGATGAAGGACATGAACAGAAACTTTTCAAAAGAAGATAGATTAATGGCTAACGAACATATGAAAAAATGCTCAACATCTGTAATCATAAGGGACATGCAAATCAAAACTGCAATGAGATATCACTTATCTCCAATGAGAATGGCCTTTATCAAAAAGTCCCAAAACAATAAATGTTGGCATGGATGTGGAGAGATAGGAACAGTCATACACTGCTGGTGGGACTGATAACTAGTCAACCTCTGTAGAAAGTAATACAGAGATACCTCAAAGAGCTACAAGTAGAACTACCATTTGATCCAGCAATCCCATTACTGGGTATCTACTCAAAAGAACAAAAGACATTCTGCAAAAAAGACATCTGCACTAGAATGTTTATAGCAGCACAATTCACAACTGTTTATAGCAGCCCAAGTGCCCATCAACACATGAGTGAATTAATAAAATGTGGTATATGTATACCATGGAGTTCTACTCAGCCACAGAAAACAATGATGATATAGCACCTCTTGCATTATCCTGGATAGAGCTGGAACCCATTCTACTAAGTGAAGTATCACAAGAATGGAAAAACAAGTACCACATGTACTCACCATCACATTGGTATTATCTGATCAATACTTAGGTGCACATATAGTAATAACATTCATTGGGTGTCAGGGAGATGGGAGGGGGGACGAAGCGATGGGTATATACGCACCTGATGGGTGTGGTGCGCACCATCTGGCAGATGGACATGCTTGAAGCTCTGACTCAGGTGGGCAAAGGCAATATATGTAACCTAAACATTTGTACCCCTGTAATATGCTGAAAAAAAATAAAAAAAAAACCACCGAAAAAAGAAACAATCCTTTGTGTTGAGCTGGTGAGTCTGGAAAAACTGTCTGTGTGAAGCAGGTTCACTGCACACTGGTTAACACTGCTTAACAGTTTGTCTGAGTCCAGCGAGACAGACACCTCTACATATAAGATAGAAGAAATGAGTTTAGTGGCCTAAAATATTATTCAAGTCTCTGAAGGAAGCCAAAATTAGAAGAATAGAATAAGTAGGAGAAATGGAAACATGGTAGATTTAAATCCATACATTCCAGTTGAGGTAAAAAATTGACAGACCTGATTAAAAATATCAAACTAATCTACAATAGGAGGATACAGGTCGGTTCCATATAAAAGGATAGGAAAGGATAGGTCATATAATTCTCCTGGAAAATAAAACATGAATAATTAGTAATAACATCAAACAAAATAGACTTTGGGTGAAAAGTACTACTAGAGACAAAATTGGTGATTCACAATGAAAGTGAACTGTTTCGCTGGGAAGGTATAATACCTGAAACTATAATTGTAAATGTGTATGCACTTGCCGAGGTGGCTTTAAATTTTATAAAGCCCAAATTTCCATAGTAACGAGGGAAAATAGAATCATAGTGGGGAAGTTGTAAAAAGTTTTTATTGAAAGATTTAAAACATTCATAGAAGTAGAACTTCCTCATGTCCAACACTTAGTGTCAATGATTAATAACTCCTGACCAATTTTCTTTTGTTTGTATTCACACCCACTTCTGGGCTTGCTTCCCTCCCCTACTCCACCTCTAATTATTTTGCAGCAAATCCCAGACATCATGAGAGTTCATCTGAAAATGTTTCAGAATGTAACACCTTAAGCGATAAGGAATGTCTTTTTATATAATCACTGTAAAGTATAACTTTTCCACAAAGCAACAGTAACTACTGAATATCATGAAATTTTGTGTTCAAATATCTCTGATAATTTTACAGTATTTTAGCACTGTTTGCATCATGTTATCTAAAATGTTGGCACTTCTGATACCCAACCCTTCCTATCTCTTTCTGTCTGATTTTTCTTAGTAGCATGTGCCATTAACACTATATATATCATTTGTTAGTGTGTTTTAACATCTGTCTCCCCAGCAGGACAGTGTCTGGCATAATAATTTGCTATCAATTTAATTGTTGAATAAATGAAAAGCTTGGAGTTTCATAATAAATCCTAATTTTTGCTAACAAATTAAGAAAAGTACAAGAAAAATAGATGGACTGGAGCCTTATGATGCCTGGTAAACCTTTCCCCTCTTCGCTCTCTCTCTCTGTTTCTCTCTTCCTACATTTCTGTTTCCCTCCCTCTCTCTCCACCATGGGCGTGTATATGTGAGGGATGCACAAATATATAAGAATGTAATGCTTCAAATAAATATAAAAAAAAACCACATGTAGACTGAAGACAATAATAGTACAAAGAAAATTCAAGAGCCTACTTCAGCTATAGACATGATCCACTGAACCATTTTTCTGCCTGTTTAGAGTTGCCCTGAAAGCCTTTCCTAAGGCCAGTGTTGGTTTGAGGGTAGGGAAGAAAAAGGTGACTCCTGGGCATAGCGATCCCTGCCTTCCACAGGCCAACAGTACAGGGGGGTGATATGACAAACTGTCTTCACCTTGTGCTCGAGGAGTTAATGGAAAGATCCCCCGTCCTATTCTATGATGCTCATTCAGAATTATAGTCTTGGCTTTAGAAGTTCAGTCCTCCAGAGAAAGACCTGAACTTCCAGAGTCAGAACACTAGCCCCTCTTCATGAATGTTATCTTCTAAAGTTGTCCTCAGAGAGACAGTCCCAGGGTGGTAGAGAGATTTGCTTTGGAGATTCAATTCCACGGAGGTGTTGAGCTTGGGACACCAGTAGGATTTTAAGCAGGTCCTCAAAGAAATGGGGTGTGAGGATGGCAGTATGAAGTAATAGAATAGGCAGTTAGAAAGGAGGTAGACAACTGGGTGGGTCACTTGGGAGTGGAGTTGTCATCAGTGTCCCTACCATTCCTGGCCTCACAGTATATTCCGGGCAGGGAGGGCTGTGATTACATGGACAGAGAAGGGTTAAGGATTAGCTTGTCAACCCCTCCTACTGACAGCTGGTAGTTTCGGAAGCAGACTGTCCAATGGAGCAGCACCCAGAGAGCAGGACAAAACTGCAAAAGGAGATGACAGAAGTCTGGCGGCCTCCTCCCTCTTCCCAAGCTCAAAGTGAGTGCTTTTGGTGCACTGAGGTGCACAGGGTCCCTTAGCCGGGCCCAGGGTGTGCAATCCAGGCTGGGCTCTGCGGCTTCTGCAAGAGAGAGCATGGCTGGGCAGCGAGTGCTGCTTCTAGTGGGCTTCCTTCTTCCTGGGATCCTGCTCTCAGAGGCTGCCAA